CAATTCTATTTCAATTTCAAACATGCCCGCAATGTGTTTGTTATAATGCCTAAGAGAAAATCTCGACATTGTTGATTGACTGTTGACAGTCATTCAGACGGCTTTGAAGATTGGGAAGGATGGGATTGAGGCTGGAACTGATCTCGTCCCGGTATTTATTCTGTTGGGTTTTCTCGTAATTCGACTCTAAAAGAACTTAGTGCATTTGGGGGGTGTAGATTAGAAATTTGAATTTTCTAAGAGTTGGCATTTGGGATGTTATATGACAGAAGCCCTACTTTATTTTAATTTAAAAAATTTAATGAATTTTCTTTTCAATCTAGTTTTGGGTTTTTGGTTGCTTTTAGGATTCGGTGCCTAGGCCGGTTGCAAGGATTTCAGTAGCTGTAGTTGCGGTGACGGTTGCTATTTTCCTCCTCAAGTCATTCCTTTCTACTGCATTCTTTGTGTTGGTGAGCTCCTCTTTTCTTTTTCTTTTTCTTTTTTTTCTCCTTTTTTGGTTAGAATTGATGTCAGTTTTGTTTGGTGATCAGGCTATGATGGGATTTATATACTTTGTATATATAGCCTTCAACAAGGATGGGGGCCCAAGAGGTGGAGGAGGCAGCGCCAGCAGCAAACCATCTAGTGATGAAGAAGCCATGGAAGAGGTCAGAAGAATTATGGAGAAATACAAGTAGTAAGTTTGTCATATGAAGTGTTTATATCAAATACATATGGTCGATATTTGCGGTATGCATTTGTTTAGCTACAGTGATATATTGTAAACATTTTCCTATATGAAGATATTCTTTATGCCATTTGCGCTTGTTTTTGTATTCTCTTTGATAATGCTCTTATACAATAGATTTCACTTTCCAATGCTTTTATTGCTTGATTTAGCATATACAAAACAGACATATCGGATGAGCTGGGTGAATTGTCTTTGTGGACTCATTAACCAGATCTCTAAACTTTAGCCACATAAAATACACCCCTATGATAGTAGGAAGAAGTGTCTGAGGATGAGAAATCTAGCTATAAGAAATGCTCTTGAAGTAGAGAGATTACCTTTGAATGCAAAGAGCGCATCTTGGGAGCTATCAAATTTATAATTGGTTACCTATTGTAATACTCTAGGGAAGGCTTCATAATTCTATTTCTAATATTTAGATACTACTTTGGATTTTATAGCTAAAGTAGCCTTGGGAGGAGTTACATGTAACTCTACTACAGTTTTAAGGATCTATATACAACTATCGAACATTACAAGTGCTAGGTTTAGTAGAATAGAGGCAGAAAAGTGTTAACATGCATCGTCTGGCTTGCAGATTCTTTTTTGCAGGCTTTTTCACAGTTCATAATAGATCGTGTAGATATTATTGTTTCGTCTAGGATTTTCCTAGGCAAGTCCAAAGGAGCTTCAATTAGATACATAATGAACTTCATATATACGTTGGATCCCATTCAATAACTTGAAATTGCAATGAGAGGAATTCTCTAGAACAAACAACTGTATCGCATTTCAGTCTTTCAGAGGAGAAACCTGAAGTATAATGGCAATACGAGAGAGATAGAGTGAAAAGAGAAGCAAAGAAGAAAAATAGAAAAGCTTATTAACACTCTGAAGCTTCAATTATCTCCAATATTGAATAGAATCAATGCTCTCTGTTGTGCACTCGTCAGAAGAGTTGTTGGAAGAAAAAACTGAATATAAGCCCAATAAGCAAAAAACAAATCATCGCCTCGCTTCTTGGAGACCTGTAAAACTTTTCCAACTACATCAAAAATTGTTGTTCAAATCATATATGAAAACCAATATTGCAGGTATTAACTAGGAATCAGCTTACCTATTTAGGGAAGTGACTTTCTGAATTTTAGGAGAGCAGAGTTCAGGTTGCCGTACTATATAGATTTGGTCGCCTTTGCTATTTTCCTTGTAACTATCCTGATTTCGATGCCAAGTCCACAAGGCATAAGTCGAATTGATAACCTGTACAAGACATCAGGAAACACTTTTATCTTATGTTATTAACAGTATATGTGTAAGATTAAGCTAGATTAAAGGGGGGAAAACCTCTAGGATTCCATGTCCAAAGCTGCTTTCTCTAAATGCGCTCCATTCCGGTTGCTTTTCCCAGCAAAATTTGCCCTTTGCAGGTCCTGATGAGAAATTTAAATGGCATACACTTCCAAATTCTGGAATATTATCATTCTGGGAAGGGCATTTTCCTGGATCATCAGCATGATCAATGTCTACTTTCTCAATATTTCCACCATCTCCTACAGTTATGTAAACTGGTCCACAGGGATCCAGTGTATAGTTATACACCCTGTTCATCCTTTCATAAGCATGGACCTGTAATCGTGTTAAAGTTTCTTAGATCTGTGATCTTATCCATATAGACGTTTAGAAGAATTATGTCCTAACTAACATAAATAATGGGTTAATTGCATATAGGCCCCATGTACTATTGCCCAATTGTTGATAGATCCCCTGTAGTTCATTGTTGTAGATAGACCCCCTGTGCCATCACCTGATTGCAGATGCACCGCCTGAGTGAAATTATTTCCTCTTTTAATTTGTCAAAAATATTTTCTCTTTCTCTGAGGGTAAGAGAGTCAAAAAAGTTCACTCAGGGGATCTATTTGCAACAACAGAAGTTACAGAACTACAGGGGGTCTATCTGCAGTTGGGTGATAGTTCAGAGAGTCTATCCGCAATTAAGTGATAGTGGAGGATGTCTATCCGCAGTTAACCATGAAATAAAGTTTCTACCTACATGACCAGAAAAGACAATATCAACTCCATGTTGATATAGGAGTTCCTCCATTTCCTGTCTCATACACTCAAATTCCTGATAGTGTGATGAATAACTATTATACCATGGTGAGTGCCAAGAAGCAACCAACCAAGGTGTGATTTGCCGATCCACTTTGCCTAAATCTTTCATTAGCCAATCATATTGTGCCCCTGCCACATAAGTAAAATAATTGTCAGTAACTTGACATCTTGAGAATGTTATGGAAGTTGATGATAGAAGCTTATAAAAACGGTAACCTAACCTGTTTGGTTATAGTCTACATAAGCTCCCAGCATGATAAAATGCAGGCCTCCTGCATTAAATGAGTAATAGAAGTTGCTGTTGGAGCCACACTCTTGTGATGGAACAGCAAACCTCGTCAAATATGATTGGAACGTTATCCCACCGGCTTGAGGCTCAATCTCATGATTGCCTTCAATTACCATCATAGGGATCTTTGATGTCAGTGGTTCCATAAACCTGAAACAATAGGAATTTACGAAGTCATTTATATCTTTGATGTCAGTGTTTGTTTTTGCATCTTCATCCTAGGCATAGTCTGTTCAGGTATTGGCACCTTAGTTCGGACATAAACCAATTGTATTTGTTAAATCCATTCACTTGCTATTTGGAAATCTTCAATTAGCATGGTTTATAAGAAAGCTCAAATATGCTGATTTCAGTCAAAAGAAATATATTTTCATACTCTGACTGCAATTTAAAGAACTGACAAATCAAACAGAAATGAGTCACCACAGCTAAGTTTCTAAAATGGTAAGTTTTCACAAAATACCATGCGTTATGGGAGGTTTTGTACAAAACTGTGATAAACACTTTTATTAGATAAAGCTATAATAAACTTTTCCACTATACTATCGTGCCTGATGAAAGTTGTGCTAAGTTGTTGCGTGTTTTAAACGTGCCATATTCTGGACAATTTTTTTCCTTATGTATGTTATACATCTTTTGCACTACTCTCTTCCTCTCCTATTTTAAGAATATTGTAGATCTTTTAACCGAGTCATTAACGTTGTTAGCAACACGTTTCAATAGTTCATAGTCTATTTCTGCACATTTTGAAAGTTCATTGCAGTTTTCTTTTCTCTAAGAAAAAAAGGTTTACGGTAGTTTTATGCGAACCCCATAAAAGTTCATGGTAGTTTTGTGAAATTTACCCTTCATAAAAACAATTACCTTCCCCATCCATCCCAACGAGGTTGATAAGTCTCTCTTATAGGTGCATCTGGGAAAGAACAAGAATAGCAAGAAACTCCTTTTCCACCCGTAGTTAAATATTGATTAGCATAACTCATGTCTCCGACCATTAAGATCAGAGAAGGATCATTCTGCGCCAGATGATCTATAGTAGTCGACGAGTTGCTTGTAAGACCTAGATCTCCGATGACTGCTATTCTTCGAGGAAAATCGTTTGCGCTGGTTGAAGGTAGAGTTTCGAACGTGTGCTCTTTACTCATTGCTGGTCGAGAGCTGTCTCCACATCTGTAGTAATATCTTCTTCCTGGGTGTAAGCCTGTAGAGAAATGTAAGCAAATAAGGTTTTTCGATCATTGTATCAGGAAACATGTCAGAATGTCCAAGTGAAGAAAATTTTATTAACATGGATCTGCAAACACGTGCTGTATTAGATAATTTTTTGAGTGTTACCTCATTACTGGAGTATGAGAAGGAACTTTGTCTACCCTTTTATTAAATAAAACCTCCTGGATGAGTACTTTGCAGGGTTTCCTTTGAATTAAAGATTACATGATTAAATAAAGAATGCTGAGCAATCACCTTGTAGTCTAACATGATGAATTATTCCCGACGTATAATTCAGCAAACCCTCGTAAGGATACAGCTGACTGTAAACGGTAGATGATCCCCTCCGTTTGAACCTGTATTTTCCGCTCTCTTCGCCATACCAGACCTCGCTTCCCACCTCACTCGGATCCAACGGTCTCACATCCGACCCAATCTGTGATTTCCCTGTGCATGCCCAAACCCGAGAAACAAGCACCAGCATCAGAATCACCATAACGGGTACGGGTTAGAAACTACACCGCATTGTAGTCGCACGTGACTAGGGTTGCAAACAGTTTGGGTATGGTACTTACCACATCCATATCCGCATACTAATCATGGTATGGACACAAATGTAGACACGATTTCGTTAGAAAACCTCATAATCCATGTACACAAAAATCTTAAGGAGTACATATTCTGAAAGAGGAAAGAAAACGTGGGTGCAAAGCGGATACGAGGAAACATGTAAGACTAGAAAGTAATGTAGGCCGTGTGATACAAAACTGTTTTAATAAATCAAAATTTCTCGATCTCAAATTGGTCTGAGATGCATTTATCAATGATTTCAGCTGACTAGTCGGTACGTATATCCATATATCTAGTGACGGTTCCGCATGTGTATCCTTTATTCATCCTAACAAAAATCTAAAAAGTACATATCAATATCAGTATTTGTATCTATATCCTACCGAATGTAGATATTTAAGATCTCATATTCGTATTCCATTCGGATACAGATGTGGACATATACGTGGATATTAGTACTCTTTCATATGCCTACCTGTGACCCAAGAGATCCACATGGAGGTAGGGGAGTATGACGTGGCAAGTGAGATCTGTTCCGGGAAATTGGGCTTGGCCCGCTGGGCCAGCCTTGGGTCGGTCATCGGCAGGTCATCGCTGCCTTGGCGAAGGGCCGGGTCGAACCTGCGTGTAATGGGCTTAAATGGGCCTTCAAGGGTGGTGGGGATCGAGGAGGAGGAGGAGATGAAGAGAAGAAACAAGATGAGGATCATATTGTTGGAATTAAGGGATTTGGAGAATGAAAGTGATGAAGAGATCAAGGTTTTGGTGGGGTTTGGATTTTGGTGAAACAAATGTAGGGAATATGCTAGGAATTATTAAAGGGGATGAGTAGGATAGTTACTTGCAGAAGGAAGTAGGAAGCTTTGGAGTAATAAGGACGTAGCGCTTGTGGACGAGATATTCGAGAGAATCAGCTTTGGATAAGAATATTCTCTATCAATGAGGGTTTATTTTCTGGATCGCAGCTTCTTAATCTAGGATTACGATTTATTTTCAATGAAAAAGAGGACTATAAATTGTTTTAAATGGAAAGTTTCTCCTTTATATATAAAGAGAAATTGGTGGACTCCTAAATGCATAAGAAATTAATGTGTCATCTCATAAATGCACAAAAACTGACCTGCACACGTGTCGCTCTCTCCTATCAGAATCAGAAGATACACTTACACACCTAATCTCATATTTCAATTAAGAATCCTTATCAAATTAAAACTATCCATAATTAAAAATTTTAAATAATCAAATATTTTACAATTCTTATCAGATTATAACTATCTATAATTAAAAAACCTCACAATCATTTATTAAAATATAGAAATAAAAGAAAAAAAAATCTCAAGTAAAGAGTCTGTCTACATAACATCACAGATTAACATCAGAAAACCCACTTTAACTATGGGGGTAACTCATGAAACCACTCTCTAGTATCTTAACTTGAGAAAACTGTCAAGTTTGAGCATAATATAGATAACCCTCTTCGACTATGAAAATTTGAGATAAACCCCCTAAACATTTCTCGCTTAACCCTTCTTAAATATAGGGTGTGTCTCATAACATCCTCCTCTACTATTTTAATTTGAGTAACACCTCTCAAGTTTGAGCCAATTATAAGTAAACCTGTCAACTTTGAAGATTCAAGAAACTCTCATGAACTATTTTCACTTTGTGCCCTAAAATCTAATGCCGTTAGGTCAAGCATGTCACATGATAAGGAGGTGACGGAGGAAAGACCAAAATATCTCTCAACTATAAGAAGTTACTTTGATATTTTAGGATAAAGAAACATAGGAGAAAGTTGGAGAACACATTATAAATTTATCAAAATCTTTCTTTATCAGTTAGGCATTTCTTTATAACTGAATGAGTTAATTTTCAAAAAGATGCTTTGATTATTTTGCATTTTTAGATGACGTTAGAGAGTCGAAGCTACGCTCATCGTAGTGGATCCTCACCTCAACCAACCCCCATGGGCCCCACCCCGTTTTTTTTTTGGCAATTATTCCTCTTGGATATAGAAACGAACTAAGTTCATAACAAAGTGCGTAATTTAAAAAATGAGGGACCCATTGTTGTTGATGAGCTTGAAAATATAGACTATAAATAAGCCAAACGCAGCCATCAGATGGAGGAAAAAACAATATCGTCCGTACACTTATATCATAATACTAGTTGAGATGCGCGTACAATGTACGTAGTTAAATATCATGATTATTTAAATTAATAAAAATAGAATAAAAATAAAAAAAAATAAAGTTTTTATGGGATTGATCATCAACTCAATAATCTTTCTCTCAAATGAAATATTGTCATTGTTTCCTTCAACCCAGACTGTGATCACGTGATCTACTATTTATGAATTATAAACACATTGATATAATATAACATCTCTGTTCATTAGTATATTGAAGTCTTCAAAAGATGGGTGATCATTCAATTCGTAAAGGAACTTTGCAAATGAATTTTCTCACAATATGTCCATTAAACTTTTAGTTGTGGTTTGACTCATATTCACATTATTAACTTTTAGTAATGGTTTCACTATATTTACATTATCAAATATTCTCATTCGATTTTATAGCTCATTCTCCATATCATAGAAGTAAAACTG